TTACCTACTATCAAAAAGCACAAGAATAATTTAAAGCCATTAAAATAAAAATTGTGTGGACTGCAGAAGGCGGATTGTTGATTCATAGCATGTTACATTTTCAGCGAGCTGACATCAGCGGCTACAAGAAAAACAATGTGGAGCACCGAGTTGTTATTGAACGACAAGCGAAAGATAAATTTTCTGCCAATAATCTCAAACAGCCAGACACTTTTATACAAATATAAAAGTCCGAAAAATAGAACACTTATAATGTTTCAATGAACAAGCAGTTCCAACGCATCGCATTTGATACAGGTAGAACCGCAATGATACCGCTATCATTGCCTGAACCCGACCAATCATCTGCAGACCTGTGGCTTTCACATTCATCTGTTTTTGTCGTACTTGTCTGGACGACAATGCCATGGAAAAGGAAAGCTGTAGCGGTGACGTCAAGTTCGTAGCGTGGCAAACTCGTGGCAATTCAAAAACTTTTGCCGGATGTTTAGTTGTAAACGTGCATTTCAAGCAGTAGCAGGCTGGCCGGTATTGCTTTGATACGATTCGCTCAGCGACACAATTTGTAGCGTAGAACAAAAGGCGAAAAAAGCTCAAAAATGGTACGGTGGGTAAGTTTTTGCGGAATTGTAGCTTTCCTGGCCGTGGCGGTAAGCGGTAGTGAGAAAGACGATCTGAAAATCGACGTGGTAAGCAAGCCAGAAATTTGCGAAGTTCGATCGAAAAATGGGGACATGCTGACGATGCACTATACTGGTACCTTGGCTGATGGCAAAAAATTCGATTCAAGGTAAAAATTATGATTTTTATCTAGAGAGCATCTAGATATTTGTAAGATATTCTTCAAGCCAATATTTCTTTGCGCAAACAGGTAATTTTCACAAAGTGGACTTTTCTTCTTAACATCGAACAATCGGTCTAATCGTCCTAAGGAGAGCATACATTGTCTCAATGCTAGAAACATAAAATTTCCTATGAGAAATTAATTTGGAGATTAATTAGAAACATGTTTTCTAGTTTAAACAAAAAAATCAAAAGTCTCCCACTTTAACAAGCTTTGAACCGCAAAATAGACAAATTTCTTTAAGAGGTTTTAAGAAATTTAGCATTTTTTCGTGGACTAATTAAACACAAATTTTTTACAAACTTTTATTACAGATTGATAAGTAGTGCTCCTATTTCGCAATAAGAACAAATTATTTATCAAAAAGTAATCAAGAACTATCACCTAGAGGGTATCCTGCGACACACTTAGGCTCAAG